TTCCCAAAAGAACTAAAATGAAACAAACGAGAATATAACATAAAGCAAACAGGTGCAACCCAAACAAAACAAGGTGAAGGCAAGTGTCAACCCTCATAAAAAAGACACAAATGAGAGAAAAGGAATGGGAAGAGATGCTTACTCATCACCCACAAGAGGCAACCGAGCCCTTGGATCATGGCCAGTAGACTTGTGAATAGCGTCAACTTCATTGGTAGGTGTGTTGGCAAAAGGATGCAGAATCTAGAAACATTTCAATGCAATGAGGATGCGGTCTTCCCACATGACTCGACGAAATGAGTCAATCTTGTGTTGCTTCTCAAAGTCCTTAACCCAACGACTAAATGGTCATATAGGGTTTGAATGGGAAATCTACATGGCCAGACTCACCTGTTATGCTCAGTGCGAATTATAATAGTAGGGATGTCTCTAGTAGATGTATTGCTCATGGCCCGAGAACGACAATGACTGAATCAAAATTGTAGCCAAGGGGACCTGGTTGTTGACGGTGTTAAGTTGGATCATCCTCCTCTTTTCCTTCATCTATTACGTAAATAAGAGACATACAGATTCCTGGAGATCAACCATGTACTTGGCAATTTGGCTGGGGTTAATAAGGGGATCCAGGGTGCAATCGAGTCCCTTGATACCGCCCCATTTGTCCCAAAGCCGATGTTCACCTTCTGTCGTGTTATTATGGATATAGTGGAAAATGGTAGCGACGAACCATCCCATAAAGAGTTGAGGATACTGTGTTTCATTGCTTGCACAATGGAATGCTTGGCAAATATCCATCCAAGGTGGAGCTAGCGGTCCTTGTCGATGGCTTGAAAGAGGGTCATCTCATCATAAGAAATAAGTTTAGGAGAATCTCGAGGATACCAAAAAGGGCAAGGAGACCCACAAAGTAAAGAAAGCATTAAAGAGTACTAGCCATTTTAGAGGAGCAGATGAAACACCCATTTTCTCGGTCAATTTAGCCAACACCACCATATGTGCTTTGGACAACTCATAAGCCGAGACAACTAGAGAGCCTCATACTGGATGCGAGGATGGAATTCCAAGATTGGTGGCGATTGGGCAGTAGCTATCATTGTTAGTGATGCCTCCCAGTTGATAGGAGAGTCAAACAATGCTTCTTATGCTGAGATTCATCTACCTCGAGGTCGTGGCCAGTGTGGGATAGGGTTTCTTTTGTAAATGACCACTTCCGTTTAGGGAGCGTAATATGGTTGTTTTTCTTGTCACGAGAATCGATATGCAATCTCCTAGGACAAGGAAGCTCTTGTGCATATTCTTCACTTGAATCGAAGTGGCTGCTGAAGTGGTCATGGTTTGTAGGAAAATATAGGGGTACCATAGAAACAAAATAAAGACAGAAATCTAAAAATTCATTGACAAAAGCAAAAATGATGGCAAACCCACCAATTTAGGGTGAAAATTGGCAACACGATCCCCAATTTATGGAGACCTCAGAAACAAACTTTCTACTACAAGGTCATATCAAATAAAAAATAATGTGATTCATAAAAGTATCCAACAACATATGGGGGGGGGGGGGGGGGGGGGGGGGGGGGGGGGGGGGGGGGGGGGGGGGGGAACCATGCGTACGGTATGAATATAAGTAAATAAGGTAGCTTTGAGATTAAATTAGCTAGAATTAGAAGGTTCATTGAACTAATAGCAGGAAAAACCAGATAAGCTAAGAAGAAAGTTACCTGAATGGGGTGCATAAAGAAATATCACAAAATATAAGGGAGAATGCCAAAAATCAAGCAGAAGTCGAGCAAGTAGGGGAAGGAGTCGTCTACAGGGTTAGGATTTTGTTATAGGATTTATGGGCAGAAGAGGGCTGAGTTTCTGGGTGGTACAAAAAATGGCATGAAAAAGTCCCTTTAAATGGGCAAAAGAGCGCACCAGGAGCCATTTTTTAGTAGTGTGGTATAATGTGAATTTAGAAGATTTCTCACTCTAAGCTTTGATAAGTGATAAATTGTATATATTTTCATCCTCATTTTTAACCAATTCGACTTTGATTTGCGTGTTCTTTGGCCAATTTTATGCAAGGTTGTGTTCATTTGTCACATTTCATGTCCTACCATGTAAAGAAAGGCATAAGTGCAAGTTTTGGGTCAATCGGAGGTCGCTTGGTGATTCGAAAATGGATCAGCGGAAGAAACACGAGCTGTCCATGAGAAATACGATTGTGTTTCTAGAAACATAGCCCATGTGCTAGCCAGGAGAAGCTCGACTGGGATTTTCCCCCCTACATTGGTCGTGTAACGTGTGACAAAGAGAAGCACAACCAAAGCAGGAGAAAAACACGACCATGTTTCAATCATAACATGCCATGTAACAGGTGACAAGAAGAAACACAACCAGACAAAAAAAGGACACAGACCATGTTTTTTCCTGAAGGTGGCCAAGTTTTACCCAGAAGAACTTAAATGAAATTACACGCTTTGATGAAAGATGGGTAGATGCTAAAACACGGCATGAAATATAGCCATGTTGTAGCTAGGAAGCTGTGGGGTTAAGTTCCAATTTTGAGATTTATTAGAGGGGCCGATTTTTGACAACAGAAACAGAGTTCTAGAGAGAGAAAGAGACACCCCTTGGAGCTGATTTGAGTCCTCAACCCACCATTCAAGCTTGGATTATTCCCTCAAAGTGAAGATCGACATCCTGGAGCATATTTTTATCATTTTTATGAGCATGACTGCTTCAATCACTATTCCCCCCTCTCTCACTATGGAGTAATCCACTCTCTCACTTGGTAATAAAGAACCCAAGTTCCATATGTTATGCTTAATTTTAGAGTTAATAGCATTTAATACCCCTCTACTATTGCAAATTAACAAACGTGCCCCTCTACTTATTTTTTGCACGAACATAGCCTTCTAGTATTAAAACGTAACGAATATGTCTTTTTATCTAATTTTCTATTAAAAGACATTTAATGGGCCGTAAATGACCCAATTGCCCTCATTAACTCCTAAAAACCCTTAATTTTTATTTTAGTTATTTTATGTCCCTAAAAATAAAAATCCCTTCTAAGGCGACAAAACCTTTCTTCTTCCTCTATACTCCCCTGACTCCCCGTACCAGAGAAATCCGACAACTTGCCATCGACGCCAGCTAGAACAGGCTTCGGCGGTGGCGAATCGACCTCTTTCCCTCGTGAAGATACAATAACGTCGGTCGATTGACAAATCTCCCGCGATCGGTAGTTGGTGAACCGACTCCGCAAGAGGATATCAAAGTCCTGGTGTCATCGGTACAATATTGATCAATGTTTCTTCTGTGAGCTAACTGATATAAATCCCCCTTGAATGGAGACTTAAGCACATCATCCACCTGTGTGGAAATGGGTTTATTAGCTTTGGATCTAGTCTGATTCACATAATTTGGGGACGATTCCATTAATTTCACCAAACTCTCTCTCTCGTCTAGGATAGTTGGTGTTCCAGAATGGACTCATTTGGGTATACGACATTTGAGACCTTGTGTAACTCCAACACTTCCCTTTCATCTTTCAGATACCCTTCTACCGTATCGTTCCATGATCGGTCTTTTGTGAACCGATTGAGCACATACACAGGGGAGGAGCAGAAACCCAGATTAAGTACCTGGAGAGACAGGGTATCTATTGAGGCGTAGTATCCTGAACGCCATGGCGCAAGTTGTGGCGTCGAGAAAATCTCTTCATCTCCCAATTGCCAGCTTGTGTAGATCTCATCCAATGCCCGCTTAATCTCTCAGCGGAAAAGCCGATTGATTCCCAAACTCTCGATAACATCGATCAGAGAGAGTCGAGTCTGGATAGTAAATCGCCAGAGCTGCCACTGAATTTCCACCATTGACGTAGACGATTGACCGGAGGTAGCCGAGGGAATCGGAGTGGTGAAGGTGCATAAAATAATTAAAATAGAAATTTGGAGTTTTTAGGAGTTAATGATGGGTAGTTGGGTCATCCTACAGCTCATTAAACGGTCATTTAACAGAGAATTGGACGGAAGGATATGTTCGTTACGTTTTAATATTATAAGGGTATGTTCGTGCAAAAAATTAGTAGAGGGGTACTAAATGATATTAACCCTTAATTTGATTTGCTCTTTGGTTTGTGAACCTTGATACTATTTATTCAATTGAAGTTTTGTTCATGCAATTGTTTGAATCCTCATCACATTATGCAATTCCTACTTTGACCTATGATAGAGCATATATACAAGCATAATAGATCCCCCCCCCCACCCCCCCCCCCCCCCCCCCCCCCCCACGCACACACACGCACACTTAAACTCGACACTGACCTCAATGGCATAAAATAAGGAGGTAGAACGATGTTACCGGATAGGGTGTGAATGTTTATGGACGAGATCAGAGGTCGGGTGAGATCCAGAAGAGCAAGGCAACGACCAAAGAACCATAAACTCCCAAAGGTTGTCTTATTGAAAATAAAAGAAAGCAAACTGATGGTGGTTGGGTTGACTCCCAACAAGCGCTTCTTTAACGTCATGAGTCGGACGGTTGCTCTTCAAGTTTCAGTCCACCATAGAACCTCCTTGAAGTTTAGGTTCTCATCGGTGAGGTAATGTTTCAAGTCACAAGCATTGGACGAATCCATGATTGAGGGATCGGGAACTTGAAAGGTTTTGAGGCTCTACCCATGAGACCTCTTCCTGTTATTTTCTTCTTTCTTCTCTTTGCCCATACCATATAGGGCATCATGGATTGACTACCACCACATCCACCAAGAGGGTCCTTCTCGAGTAGTGCATCAATGTTGGGTGGAAAGCTTTCGTAGCACTTGTAACTTGTAGAAATTTCAGCAACCAAGACCTCGTCCTCATCTTGGACACCACTTGCATCTTCAACATCAACTTCTCTTCCTTCTTCCTCAGTTTGTTCCTCCCCTTAGGAATAATTAATATCTTTCTCTTCTTCAATGCTCATTCCCCCTCTTCAACCTATCGTTTCTCCTTCACATTTAATAGACCATTGATTGCACATGTTTATACCTCCATTCTTGAGCCGTTTGAGAGTCGATTCTCGTGTTTTAAGCCGATTTCACGCTAGGTTGTGTGTTTATGTCATATTTCAGGACTTTGAGTTGACGTGAAGGCGAGGGAACAAGTTTCGGGTCAAAAGGATGGCGTTTGAGTAGAAGGGCGCTGGAAGAGCAAAATACCCGGCCATGAGTTAAAATACCCGGCCGGGTAAATTCCTAAGAGAGGCCGGGAAAAAGCGTTTTGGGACGTCTGAAGTCTAGAAGGGGTCCCGGCCAGAGAGCGAAAATACTCGATCGGATATTCTGGACCTCGATCGGGTATTAAGCCCTTCACCACTGCATTGCGTTTCAAAATCCCTGGCCGGGCACCTGAAATACCCGACCGGGGATTACGACTGGGGATCGCGGCCTGCTGGTTCTTAAGGGAAAGAAGGCTGATTTTTTAGGGGTTCCGAGTTTTAGGGAGACAAAGTGTATACCTAGAGAGAGAAAGTGATGAACCTGATTCTTCAAGTGCCTTAGATCGATCTTCATCACCATTGGAGCCCGGATTGAACTTGGAGAAGTGTTGATTGACTGCCAGAAGCTGAATCCCATCCTTCATAGTATGGTTTCTGCGTCTGAGCTAGATTTCCCGTCTCTCTCTATGGAGTAACTTTCTCATTCACCTGGGTCTGAAGAACCCTAGATTTGTATGTTAGATCTGATTGTATGAACCCAAGTACGAATTCAGTGATATGATTATATTCAATTGAGGTTTGATTTATTGTATGTCACGAATCCTGATCAAATTCCTGTTATTTCTGCTTTGATCTAGAAAGAAAATATTTTCCTAGGTTGATAGAGTACCTTTGATGGAAGGTAGTGAATTGACGACTTAGTCGAGGAGTCAATTCACTATTCTCTACCGGATTTACTTCGGTAGAGGAGGTTTGGTTCGTTAGGGCCTCAATCTATTTACTCCGGTGGAGGTTAGCCTCCCACTAGGGACTCAGATTGAGAGGGTCTGAAGACCTTTAATCAAGACTGGAGAATGTTTAAGAACCTCCTGCAGTATAACTATCATTGAACTTGAACTTGGTAAATTACAACCTGGCTTAACTGCAGTCTAGGGGCAACCATATCCGGGTGACCTCTCTCAACTTAAACACAACTTTCACTGCTTTGCTTACTAGTTTAATTGAACCTTCACAACACTTGAACCACTAGGTAACACACTTTCATGGAGTAGTCATCACACCTAGACAATTAGAACTAAACCCGCTATACTACGCATTCGTAAGTGGTTACACTTGGCCACTTTCTAGTGTGATGGTAGAAGCGAGTCAACATTCATGTCTTCAAGCTCAATTTAGAGGGAGAGATGCCATTCAACATCATTGAAAAAGGTTCTCTTGCTTCTCTACCCTCGTGACTTGGTCTTCAAAGTTGTTCTCGGGAATGGGAAAGGTGTGAATATCATCAACGCAATCCTCTTGGTCATCCTCACCACGGGAGCTCTCCGGGGTGATGTTCTCTTGCTCCATGCGGTTGTCATTGATCGTCCCTTCAACCACATCTTGCTCTTACAATGGTGAGAGGCGATGGCGTGCACAAGCTTGCCCAACCTTCTCTTCTAGTGTCAAACCGGGAGGAGGGAGGGGGTGGAAATCTGTGTTGGAGCATGTTCTTCAAAGCTCTCCATGGAAAGCTCCAATTTGGACTTCGCTTCGGGTTGTGGGAGATCCAAGTTTGAGCATCCTTCGTTGGTGCCTTAGGGAGATCGCTCCACCATGAGCTCCACTTTTCTCCTTGGCTCCGGTTGTGGAGTGGCACATGGTCTTGAGGAATGCCCTATGAAAGCCTCCATGGCCAACTCCAAATTGAATTTCTCCTCGGTTTGTGGAAGGAAGTTTTCTTGGTATGGGAAAGCTTCTTGAAATCCCCATGGGTATGCTTGCTCTTCTTGGAATGGAGGTGACCATAGAACCATGTTTCTTGACTTCCTCCCTCTTGATTACTCCATGAAGCCCTGAGGTACCCCCACTCGGGTGGTTGTGGATAGCCTTGCACGTTATAGAAGCCATTGGGATCCAGGATTCAACCTACAAAAACAAAAATATAAGAAGAAATCAATCAACGCAAAGCACCCTTAAAGACGAAAAGTGGGTAAAAAAAATACAAAACAGAACGACTAAAGTAACGACCTAAGCCTTTTTTAGATAACCTTGAATTTTCCCCAACAACGTTGCCAAAAATTTGGCTCAACTCTAACTACACATCCCAATCTACGGTCAAGCATAACCGACGACCGGGTGTAGTATAGGGTAAGCAAGGAATAAAATTACTGAATCACGGGTTTCCTAGGTGTATCTTACTTCAGCTTGAGGTTTTGTTATCTTGCCAACCTAGAATAGTGATTAAGAAACTAACCTATCTATACTAACCTAACCACTACCTTAGCTAATTACAAGAGGTGTAGCTCTCTTAGCTTGAATCCCCTAATTCTATCATTTGGATCGATGTTAAGTACTATCCTAGTTCGATCGACTCAATCCATCTACCATTTAGGAGCTAGACTCCCTCGGGTGACCCGGAATGGCCTAGCTATGAATGGTAGTGCTCTATTCAACCTAGGGTTTCATATACCGTCAAGACATCGATCAAATCGACTCCCTCGTGGATTACCCGAAATAACATATGATAGGAGTGACCGAAAGACACCAATAATGGGCTTTAAGGGGATTGTCTCCCTCCTAGGTCAAAATATCAATTGATATCTAAAACTCATGCAATTCATGAAAACCATTCATCAACTAAACAAAATGATCAATCAAACATAGGATTTATCACATACATCAACAACAAACAAAAATCTAGACCTAGGGTTCATCAACCTAAGAGAAGGGGTATAATTCATCAACCCAAGTCTCCAATTAAGCTCCAAGATCACTCTCTCTAGTACTGTCCCTTTGGGTGTTTTGTGTCGGAGCCCGAAAGAAGAACTCTAAAATTCCAGACCAAACCCAACCAAACTCTCCTTTCACTCTCCCAGTTGCCTTCAATTTATACAACCCTAGAGCCAACATCACGGTCTGAGGTTCAACCCAATTTATTCAATTCATGGTCATTGAAAGTGGTTAAATGTTTAACATTTGGTCACTCTGTGGTAGTTTCCTTTAACACCGTGAGTGTTTTGCTGACATGGCTAACAAAAGTGATGAGTCACCAAATTTTAATCTAAAAAAATTGAAAGCCGACCAACCACATCAGATCTTAAGCCAACACCTCATAAATCCTAACCCAACCTATGACTAGACCCTACCTACCCGCCCAAACGAAAAAGTTTCACCCTCGGAGCCAATCGCTCACCGGATCCCCCTTTGTCCTTCTTCTCCAATCGTTGGCTCTCTCTACCGTAGACAAAATCCCCGCTGAAGAGCTTGGCTCAAGAACTCCGTGAAGTTGCTATGATACTATGGCCAAGTTATAATTATGACTCAGCTTCTTCGTGTGATGGCAAAGAGGAGAATCGAAGCGTTAAAGTGGGGCACTGGCTGCCGCCGGCAGATGATTTTGATCTCAAGGCCTCCCCCAAAGCAGAGTTAAATGGTTTTTTCTTCAATTCAAAGCCCGGGATGCCCGTTATGATGAATCGACACCAGAAACAAAGCAAGAGGACTCCACGGGATCTCGTTCACAAATTTCTTTACCCTTCTTCAACGGCCTTCACCTAAAGCTCCAGAACTACTTTTGCCAAAAACTCCAGATATTTGAAATGAGAAAGATACAATTGGAGTTGCGCCTCCATCAAAGCCCTCCCTTCCTTCTCCCGCTCCGATAGCAGATCCACCTGCTGTCACTAACCCCAAATTTCCTCTCTTCGATGATTACTGGAAGAAAATCCGTCACCGCTGATTTTCCCTCTCCAGTTTCAATTTATGAGTTTGGTGTTGTGTTTTTTGGATTTTATAAGGCGGTTTCGAATTCCAAAATTGTATTTTCAGGGTTTCAAATATGCGAGGGAATCTCGGAGTTACGACTGGGATTGACGGAATGATAATCGATTCGGGTTTTAAAATTGTATTTTCTAGGGATGGTTGGGGAAAAAGGATCGCCAACGATGCGTGGTTGAAGAAGGAAGGAGAAAAGAAACAAAAAATTGGGTTGGGTCGGGACTCACAATGTGTAGGGTACGGAGATGGGGAGGGACGGGGTTTTAATTTTTAAGGGTTTAAATTGGGTTGGGTCATTGGTTGGTTTTAAATTTTTTAGGTTAAAACTTGATGACGCATCATTTCTGTTAGCCATGTCAACAAAATACTCATGGTAATAACAGAGACTAATTGAGAGTGACCAGATGTGAAACGTTTAAGCACTTTCAGTGACCATGAATGGAATAAAATGTTTTTAGTGTCCAAACGTGAAATGTTTAACACTTTCAGTGACCAACCTTGCAATTTACCTCATAAATAATATATAGTTTTTCAAAATGAAGTTTTTGGTTCTAAACCTAGGCAAGATCATTTTTTCATTTCGCTAAGTAGTATTCAAAAATCTAAAAGTTTCTTGAAATGATGTATTTTTAATAAAAATAAAAAATTTAAAACATGAAGTTCACTTGATTAAGTTCATCTGGCAAATTATCAATCATGTGCAATCACTATAAGAAAACTGTCATGGGGTGTCAGGTATTTTATATGTTTTGTATCTGTTCACTTAACCGACACAAGACCGATTGACACTACTCGGATTTGTGTTTGTTTTGGGCAACCGGCGGATTAACATACACAAATTTTTTTTGTTAATTATTTTGCATCAGTTTGAAACAACACTAATTATTTATTGTAAACATCAATTTCTGGAATTAAAATTATTATCTATGTCAGCTAACCGGCGTAAAATAACCAACACAAATCATCAATTTTAAAATTTAAAAAATTCATATATGTCGCTCCAAAAAAATTATGACGGGCTTAATTAACCTCACAAACCCACTAATTTCTATTCGTCCAATACTACGGTGCATCTATTAAAAGTGCGGCACTGGTACCGCTATTTATGATTGGTCCACGTGTGTGGCAATTGAATGAATTAAATTCCAGTGTCTCAATCCATACCAAATCAGCCCAAACCCAATTTACCCAAATCCTTTTGATTCCTTCTTTCCATTTGTGTTCATTTGAAACTTTTTTCAGCCAATAAGAACCAGAATAGAAGCAACCCTTCCTCTTCCTCGCTCTCCTGCTCCGGCGAACTTCTACTTCGCTGATCCATTCTCTAGTTTTTTACCATGCGGCTCCACTAGTCTCCTTCACCATCTTCCTCCTCAACTTGCATCTTTCACACTTTGAATTCAAAATTCATAATTAAAGGCTTGTTGATATTCAAGGTCAGTCTCATGTGTCCCTTGTTGCAAGATTTCCCCCATCGATTTTCAAACTTTCCATCAATGTTGTAAGTTGATGTCCTGTGTAGGTCAATTTAGAATATCAGGTTTCCAACCTCATAAGTCACAACCCCCAAATCAAAAATGCGTTAAAGGCATCCATGGAGAGTAAACACCGCAGAGCAAGTAGCGAAGGCTAAATATAAAAGCTTAATTACCTGGGGGGGGAGGAGTTGTCGATGCAGAATGTCGGTCTTCAAATCAAAAGCGACAGAGCTCTTGAACAACATGGCGTGATTGGAGGAAGGACAATTATGGATTGTAGGGGAAGCACAGGGTACCAAAGGCGGAGAGGGAGGGCAAAATTTCCTGAAAGCCTTTGAATCCTTTGGAAAAGGTCGTTCTTCAATTCCAATCACCAAACTTTGACCCTGAGTTTCGATGCATCAAAGTGGAATGATAGAGAGTGAGGGGGCGATGGAGAGGGAGGAAATAAGATGTCACCGGCAAACAGTTTGGCTAGGAAAAGATGATAAAAAGGATTCATTGGAATAAAGACCCCCCTTTCAGTTGGGTGGTTGGAAGGCTTGGCCGATTGATAGGCAGGTTTGGGCTGAATTTGGAGAAACCCAATTCCGCCACATGGACCAATCATAAACAGCGGCACCAGTGCTGCACTTTTAATAGTGGCACCGTAGTATCGTTGGACTGCTAGTTGTGGAGAGAGTGTAGCCTATCCTCATGCGAGGAAACAAAGCCACAATACATACGGACCCCGTTTGCCACGCATTCTAGGGAGCCAGTCGTTGCTTCAACCCCTATTCCTATACCCTTACTCTGGAACAAGTGGAACCAGAAAAGGGAGATTTAACTAGTATTGGCCTTTCTATAATCATTTCTTGGCCCATGCAGGCACAAAAAACACAAACTCACTAATTATTACCTTCAGGTCTAGCCTTACAACTAAACAAACGACGCCGTATAACTGACATTCACATGACAACTTTGTTTGAAGCTTTCGATTAAAATTTCCAGGAATTCCAAGCACTTTGAAACAGAGCAAAGGAACAATAAGAACAATGAAAACGCAGATAAATTAAAGATACCCTAATTGAGACGTCGCCATCCACACCCACAAACCAACCCACTATATCAAACCATCCTAATTGAGACGTCGCCACTGTCGTCGGATTTCTACATCACTGTCTCAACTTTATTTTTCTCAGAATCGAGGAGACCAGAAAAGCGGTAGATCGACGAAGAACAGGATATATGGCGGGTTTAGGGGTAATCAGGCTCGAACTGATGACTTCCACCATTTCAAGGTGACACTCTACCGCTGAGTTATATCCCTTCCCTTGCCCCCATTGAGAAATCGAGAAATATAACTGACTACTCCTAAGGCAAAGGGTCGAGAAACTCAAGGCCACTAGGCGATTAGATCCGGTCAATTGGATGTGCCGTCGTCGATCTCTGTCACTTTGGTTGGACAGAAAAGAGAAAGAAGAAGATAGATAGAAGAAAGAAAAAAAAACAAGATAGGGATAGAGATTGTTGTAGTGGAGAGAGGGAGAAGAATTTGATTATGAAGGGGTGGATCTTTGTTGTCGAAACTTTCAGCCGAGCGGGCACTTTGAAATTTTTCGGAAGCCAAAAAGTAAATTTTAATTTTGTGGTCAGTAAAAAATGTGGGCAGGAGGGAATTATTCTATTCTTAATTTTTTACTTGAAAACAAATTTGGAGTAATTTTTCCCTCCCAAAATTTTAGAGCCAAAAAACTATATACTATTTATATTAGTAGTCTTATGCAAGTATACTGATTAAAAAATCTATTAAAAATATTTTGTAACTATATTTGCATCATTTAATGTTGTAAAGGATATAGAGACTAGAGATTTTAGATAATTTGGGTATAGAGATTCATGAGCGTTTATAACTTGCTCTATTAAGTGATCAAATAATTTTTTAGTGATTAATAATTTTTTAGTATACTATAGTTATAATAGCCTTTATATACTGACTCGCACGAAACTACACCACAATTAAACCTTAATTAGAGCCCAAGTTTTTAAACTCTAATCGGGTGCAGTATAGGGCAAGTATTTTGATATCGACCCGGGCCGGTCCGTGTATCCCTACTTCCATTGTTGAAATTATTTTCTAGCAACTAAACTTTGGCTTAAAAGATTTTCTAATTGAAGTAAAAGAAAACAAAGGTGATTGGGTTTGAAAACTCTTTTGTGGGAAAGTCACTCGAGTTTCGCTTCCCCCTAACCACTGCCATGCTATGTGGATTGGAACGATTGCCTTGGGTACGTTAATCGTGAACCGCAGAGGAAAGCATATGTGGTCGGAGACCACAGTCTCAATTGCTAAACCGAGGTGAGGATGAAAGGTCGTGTCACTCGACCCTCTCGGTTTAGACAATCGGTAATCGTCTTACTTCCTCACTCAACTCGAAGGTCGGACGGTTTAACCCTAACTCAACCACGATTAATCGCCTTGTTTAATTCAATATTGAGGGTTGCCCTAACTCAACCTAGTTTAGGTGGCTTAGAAAGCGGAAGTAAAACCAACTCGATTGTGTCTCCCTTGGAAAGGGGATTTTCCTCTCTAAACTAGGCTAAGGTGGCAAATTAGATTACTAGCACCTAAATGCACAAACTTAGGGTTGCTAAGCACAATTATGCACATTCCCTAGGATGCTAAGCACAAAACATGCATAACCCCTAAGTTGCTAAGCACAAGCATGCACAATCATGGTGAATAATGTCTCAAACATCGAATTGAACAATACCCAATAACAATCATCCAAACCACATACAAGAAAACTACATGGTAGAGTTAGGGGTTTCACTACACCCAAGTGAAAGGAGGTCTACTCCGTGGTAGAAGTAGGAAGAACAAAAGGGAAAAAGGTGGAAACCATCTTTGGGGATGCCTCCTCTCTTCTTGACCCTTGAGTTGAGCTTTCCTTGGGGGAATCTTCCCAAAAATCTGCCTTGGAAGTCAAACCCTAACCTTCTTTTTCCCTTTGGTAATATTTCTCTCACTAGAATGCTGAAGAAGGTGTTTCTCACAAAAGTAGGCTCTCCTCTCTCTCCTCCTTGAAGCTCAGCTTTTAAACCCGAGAAGAGCTGAGTTCACGGCCTGAGGATTTGGTCGTGAAGTGAAGGGTCGCCGTTCACGCCCCTTTTATAGGCATAACTCTGAGTTCACGAACGCATTGCCTAGTTCACGGTCTTAGCGAACATGAACTCGCTAATCCGTCCGTGAACACGGAGTGGTTGACAGTTGGTGATCATGCATCAGCGCCCAGTTCACGAACACGTTTGCCTGTTCACGGTCTTAGCGACCGTGAACTCAGCAATCCGTCAGTGAACTCAGGGCACTTCTGCAAAATTTTTTACTCAACCTATTCCTCCGTGCCTCCTGATCGATCACAACACCACCATAAATCGCAAAAACACAACACTCGGCACGGGGACACCACTTCACCACTCGAACCCTTCACAAGACACTAAAACAAAAACTAAGGAAAAGAAAACAAACCTC